GGGAGCAATGAGAGCGGCTATTCACTGCGGTCGAGTCCAGGGGAGGATCAGAGGTCGCATTGAAGTCCCTCCAATAAGTAAAATACCGGGACGCCGTTTGTCAAGAGTACGGAAGAACGTACGCACAAATTTGGCCAGTCCCACATATATAGATTATCAATAGTACAAAGCACGTTACTTATGGTACATACGAGAAGGGTGTATCTACCCATCAGGGCCGTACCCGGACCCCCATACATGTCCCCTAGGGCAGTACCCGGACCCCCATACATGTCCCCCAGGGCAGTACCCGGACCCCCGTACATGTCCCCCAGGGCAGTACCCGGATCCCCATACATGTCCCCCAGGGCAGTACCCGGACCCCCATACATGTCCCCCCGGGCAGTACCCGGATCCCCATACATGTCCCCCAGGGCAGTGCCCGGACCCCCATACATGTCCCCCAGGGCAGTATCACTACTCTCCACGTTATCTATGGGAAGTGTTAGCAATGTTTCCTGTGATTGGATAATGATGGTGGTCACATGATGAGAGAACATACAGATGGTTCTATCAGGCCCTACGACTCCAGGTTACAGACCAGCCCCAGATGTAAGGTCTCTGGCAAGATAACTCCAATGAAGCATCAATGATCGGCCCCTTTAGACTCCGCCCCTGAGGTATTCCATTTATTCAGGAGGGCTCCTCCTCTCTCTTCTATTATATGCAGGAGGAATGAGAAGCAGGAACATCCACAGCTCCGAAGGTGGGCAGGAAATGGAAGGAGACCCACCCACACAGATTTACAGGGGCACAAGAAAATCTTTTATTACGAAACATTGACTTACTCTTATGACCGGTGAACAGCAAAGCCACATTTATGGGTGAAACCCTTTCCGCACTATGGGGCAGGAAGGAGGAGACTGACCCGTGTGAGTTTTCAGGTGTCTCAGAAATTGCCCTTTGTAAGTGAAACATTTCCCGCAATCCGAGCACGAAAAAACATGCTCACCCGCGTGACTTCTCTGGTGAGCAGAAAGGTCTCGCTTATAAAGGAAACGCTTCCCGCACTCTACACACAGGAAAGGACGCTCGCCTGTGTGGTTTCTCATGTGTCTGAGAAGGTGCGATTTTTGTAAGAAGTTTTTCTCGCACTCCGAACAGGCAAAGGGTCGCTCGCCCGTGTGAGTTCTCTCGTGCCTGCGAAGTTTAGCCTTCAGTGCAAAACCTTTCCCGCACTCTAAGCATACAAAAGGAAGCTCGCCCGTGTGGCTTCTTATGTGTACAATGAGTTCATCTTTAAGTCTGAAACGTTTCCCACACTCTTGGCAGGAGAACGGCTTCTCACCAGTGTGCAGTTTCAGGTGGCACGTTAAATGTCCTTTAATGGAAAAGCCTCTCCCGCACTCTGGGCATGAAAACGGCTTCTCCCCGGTGTGGCTTCTCTGATGTACAACAAGTTCTGATTTTGCTACGAACGATTTATTACATTCAGAACATGGGAAGGGCCTTTCCCCGGTGTGATTTTTTTGGTGTACAGTAAGTTGGGATTTATTTATAAATGATTTTCCGCATTCCAAGCAGGAAAAGGTCACCTGACCAGTGTGAATTCTCCGATGTATGGTATGCTCAGATCTCTTTTCAAAACACTTCCCGCACTCTGAGCACGACAGGGACCTTTTCTCTGTGTGAGTTTCCCGATGCTTGTTAAGATTGCCTTTCTGGGCGAAGCGTTTCCCGCACTCTGGACAATAGTACGGCTTTTCGCCTGTGTGGGTTCTCATATGCGCTACCAGTCGGTCCTTCCATTTGAAACGTTTCCCGCACTCTACACACGGAAAACTCTCCCCCGTGTGAATTCTCACATGTCTGATCAGATGATCTTTCCGTTTAAAACTTTGACCGCAATCCGAGCACAGAAAAGGTCTCTCTCCCTGACCATGTCCGGTGATCCCATTGTCTTCTCCATCGTCCTCTGCAGACGAAACGTGGCGTCCACCTGAGGAGTCACAAACATCACATCGTGTTAGAGACATCTCACCAGCATCGAAAGTACCTTCAGGGTTCATGTTCTGTGTACGTCTCTAGAAGTCGTCTCACATAGACCTGAGGAAGGGAGACGGACCTTCATATGGTGTCCAGTATCTCCTCCTCATGCCATTCGTATTGTAGTCTCCTCTTACCCGGTGATGTGAGGGGCGGGGCATTCTCCATCACCACGTCCTTGTAGAGATCCCGGTGTCCTTCTAGATACTCCCACTCCTCCATGGAGAGATAGACAGAGACATCCTGACACCTTATAGGAACCTGACACACACAATGATACCGTCACCACCCAGACACGCCCCTTGTCTGTTCCCGGATCATGTCCCAGAATCCCCGGCACCGCTCACCTCTCCCGTCACCACCCAGACACGCCCCTTGTCTGTTCCTGGATCATGTCCCAGAATCCCCGGCACCGCTCACCTCTCCCGTCACCACCCAGACACGCCCCTTGTCTGTTCCTGGATCATGTCCCAGAATCCCCGGCACCGCTCACCTCTCCCGTCACCACCCAGACACGCCCCTTGTCTGTTCCTGGATCATGTCCCAGAATCCCCGGCACCGCTCACCTCTCCCGTCACCACCCAGACACGCCCCTTGTCTGTTCCTGGATCATGTCCCAGAATCCCCGGCACCGCTCACCTCTCCCGTCACCACCCAGACACGCCCCTTGTCTGTTCCTGGATCATGTCCCAGAATCCCCGGCACCGCTCACCTCTCCCGTCACCACCCAGACACGCCCCTTGTCTGTTCCTGGATCATGTCCCAGAATCCCCGGCACCGCTCACCTCTCCCGTCACCACCCAGACACGCCCCTTGTCTGTTCCTGGATCATGTCCCAGAATCCCCGGCACCGCTCACCTCTCCCGTCACCACCCAGACACGCCCCTTGTCTGTTCCTGGATCATGTCCCAGAATCCCCGGCACCGCTCACCTCTCCCGTCACCACCCAGACACGCCCCTTGTCTGTTCCTGGATCATGTCCCAGAATCCCCGGCACCGCTCACCTCTCCCGTCACCACCCAGACACGCCCCTTGTCTGTTCCTGGATCATGTCCCAGAATCCCCGGCACCGCTCACCTCTCCCGTCACCACCCAGACACGCCCCTTGTCTGTTCCTGGATCATGTCCCAGAATCCCCGGCACCGCTCACCTCTCCCGTCACCACCCAGACACGCCCCTTGTCTGTTCCTGGATCATGTCCCAGAATCCCCGGCACCGCTCACCTCTCCCGTCACCACCCAGACACGCCCCTTGTCTGTTCCTGGATCATGTCCCAGAATCCCCGGCACCTCTCACCTCTCCCGTCACCACCCCCACCAGCCCCTTGCC